GTTCACCACCAAAAAACCAGAGAGCTGTGGTTCAAGTGGTAGAAAGCCAGCCTTGAGAGAGAGAGAAAAAATAAAGCTAAGGGACAGAGCCTAGGACCCAGTACTGGTGTTAAAAAATACACAGACAGACAGATAGACAGACAGAAAAAAAAACCAGTCTCAGATCCGCATTTGAAGGCTTTCCTTCGCAAGTGGCAATGCTATGTAACTGTGGCCGTGCTAATAGAGATGTACAATAGCATACATGCACTGGTCGTGGGAGGAGCCATTGCCCCAGGAGCATTTGGAGAGACTTGCTTTTCACCAGACCTGAAGCTGTGGTGCAGGGGGCGGGGGCGCACGGGGGAACGGGACTTTCCGATGCCAGCTGGAGTGGCTGGCCAGGAGAGCCATCCGTGCAGACAGAGCCCATAGGAAGACAACAAGCAGGCATGTTATGTACACAGCTTGCTCTGCCTGTGAGATGTCCAGCTGAGGGGAAGATGGGGCCCTCGAAGAAGGAGATCCAGATGTGAGTGGGCATGGATTCGTATGGAGAAGCTAAAAGCAACAGCCAGATACAGCTACCCAGCAAGAACATGAAGACCTGAGTGAGAAAAAGAGCTGACGGAGGGCATGCTGGGACATTCTAAAACTTCAGTGGCAGACTGGAGAAGGGTCACTTATCAGGAAGACAAAGAAGAAAGACTCGGAGGGATGTGAAGAACAGGAGTGTAGCTGGGCACCGGTGGCTCACGCCTGTAATCCTAGCTACTCAGGAGGCTGAGATCTGAGGATCCGAGGGCAAAGCCACCTGAGCAGGAAAGTCCATGACACCCTTATCTCCAAGAAACCATCAGAAAACCAGAAATGGCACTGTGGCTTAAGTGGTAGAGTGCTTGCCTTGAGCTGAAGAGCTGAGGGACAGCACCCAGGCCCCAAGTTCAAGCCCATGACTGACCAAAAAAAAAAAAAAAACAAAACAGAACGTAATTGGGGGTGGGGAGGTGGGGAGGAGAACAGGGTAAAGAAGCCTTCTGCAGAGTGGGAACAGGGCATTTAAAGGAAGGTGGCTAGCAAGGATCACTCAGAAAGCACCACCGGAAGAGACATGATCTTTAGAAGGAGGAGACCAGCAGAAAAGAAGAAACTGAAGATGTAGGCTAGGGAATAACCGATGGACAAGATCCAGTGTAATATGAGCATGGTGGATTATTTTAGTCATGGTCCTAAAATATGGTCCTATAAATAAAACTTGGTCCTAAATAGGATCCTATAGATTATGAGTCCTATAATGACTCATAACTAAAAACTAGAGGTTGGGTGTGTGATGAACAGGGTAACAACTGATACAGATGTGGACATACAGACATATAACTTAGATCCCTGCAATGGGATTGCTGAACTTTGTTGGTTACTCATCTGATTACTGCAATGAGCAATAGTCATTAAAAGACATAGATACAAATATTAGTACAGCCATTAGCAATTAGCCATCACCTTGGAACTGCAGACATTTAACTGTTCGTCTAGAGAGCCAGGACCCATATTGTTCCTTATGAAAGAGCTCCAATTTGTTTGCACCAGCCAGTCATAGAGTGAAACTTTCTTTCCTAGCAAACACCAGCCAGCCAATGTCTTCAGAAAACACAGTTCTAATTCCAAAATGTGACATAGTTATCCTTATTAGACCTGACAGCTCCTGGGAGGATATTTTCTCAAATCTGCTCCCTGTTGGGACTTGTGAAGGGGAAGGGTATGAACTGACCCTCATAGTTATGTAACTGCTGTGGTGGGACCCTGGGGAATTGTGGATGAGGTACCAGGGTCATCCTTTGTTCACAGGGGGATGTGATGGGTTCGTCCCGTTCCTATAGACGTTAACACTACTGTTAGGGCTACTTAGCCAACGTGGATTTTATAAGCTAACACAGGCCAACACATCCTTCAAACCTTGAGAACTTATCTGGCACCCACTGAAGTTTGGTGACCTTTACCTTCAGCCCAGTGCCATTTGTTTCGTGAGACTGTCAGTTCTATGTCACCTCCATAGAGGACAGAGTTCAGGAGTTTGAGGAGAAAGGGCATGGCAGGAAAAAGTAGTGGATTCATCAAGAAGAAGGAGGCTCCAGTCCCTTCTGTCACTATAAGCTTACACTATGGCTTTGAGTTTGCATCTAGGCCTGTAATTTGAGGAAAGTTCTAGAAAAGAAAACTGCCACTCAGACTCCAGCACCAGAGCCATCTTGACTTGCAAAGTAGTTGTAGGAAGAGAATTGAAGGGCTGAGGAGGGAAGCTGTGGGTGTCATGGTCTAGAGTGACCATAGATGGGATTCATTAACGATTCAAGACTCATTCATTCTTTAATTCATTAATGAAGGAGTTTCCAACCTGATAGCTGCTTTCGTTCTAGACTTCAGCCAGTCCGACCTGGGCAGCTAGACCTGCCTCTCATCTTTTTTCTCTCTCCTGGGAACCTGGAGATTTTGCCATGTAACCCTCAGCCATGTGGATGGGAGATTTTTGGCCATCCAGGATCTCTAGCTCCTTCTTGGGACATCTATAAACACTAACCCAAATTCTCACTGTTTTTTTTTTTTTTTTTTTTAGGGCATCCTGAAAGTTCTCCTGGGAAGGGCTTCAGAGCACGATCCAAGGGAGAGGAGAGATTGAGCCCCAGTACAGCCACTGGAGGGCTGGCTAGAGACAGGGTTAGAATGAAAGTCCAGCCTTTGGAGCCTGGGAGACGGCTGCGCTCACAGTCTTACATTGCCCTAGTCATAAATTCTCAAGGCTGGAGATTCCATATCTATCAATTTGCCTGTCCTTTCAGAATTGTACATCATCCTGGGGAGACACTAGCGTCCTGCTGTTTCTAGAACTTTCTCCCAGTATATCATTGGAAGATCTAAAATGCCTAGCCTCCTCCGGAAGAACAAAGAATAGATATTAAAAAGTAAAAGAAAAAAGCTTGCAGGTTCTGCACTAGCCCTACGGGCATGTCTTCCTAGTGCTGGCCACAAGGGGGCGCTGGGCCATGTGCTCCCCTTGCAGGTGGCTGCTAATGAGGGCTGGAATCACTCAACTGTCCTGGTGTTTATCTTGATGTGTCCCCCAGAGCATCTTTTAACCTTCTTGGGTTCATCAGTGGATGGGAATGTGGGAAGTTATCGGGAGAACGTGACACCATGAGAGACCGAGGGGGCACCTAAGGGTGGGGCTGGCCTGCCAGTGCATGGTACTGCATGCAGGTTGGAGACAGCTGCATCTGGTGATAACTGGGCTCGTGACATGTGATCCACTTGGTTGTTTTTTATTCTGTAGTTTCTATTTAGCACTATTTTTACAGGTAGCTATGGTGGATTTAAATTGCCATGTGCTTTACAAAAAACTACACAACCTTATAACTGATTTCAGGGTCTTTTTTAAAACATTTTTTTTTTTTTTGTCTTGAAAGATGGTGTATAGAATCAAGTTTTTGCAAAATACCCCACATATGGAAATTTACCAGGGCAGCCTTGTGGAAATAAGCTTGGCAACAAACTAGGACGTTAGTGAGAATGTGGAGACTACTTTCAAGGAAATTCTCATGTGGGACTGTATGGATTTGGAATGCAGGCAGCCACTCACAAACCACTAGACAGCACAAGGCCGAAGAGGCCTTCCCTGGCCACGGGGGTGGGGGCATCTCCCTGAAATACGGAGGCAATACAGGTTGCCCCCAAAATCATAGCACTGTTTTAAGTAGAGTTCAAAACTGCCCTAAAGCGGAACAACTTGAATAAGATTTAAGGGTTCTGTATTCAAATCCTTTTGTGCATTGCTCTTCTTCATGGTCAGGGGCCTGACTTCCATTCCTTCTTTTGTGGATGGCTAGCTGTGAGATTTTACAAATGGAAATGATTTTACCCTCTGGACTGTAATCTCAGGTCTGGAAGGAGGTCCTAACTTCAGATTAGCTAAACTTCGAGGTTTATTTTCTCAAGGTTTATGAAAACAACCAGGTGAGGTCTCAAACGCAGTGTGCATTTGAAATGGGAAGAGAAGAGGGGCACATGAGCATAGCTAAGCCCACAATGTACGCTACTGGGTAAGCATGTAACTCAACAGGCTGCCTTTACCACCTCCATAGCCTGCTCGTGGAGAAATACAGTCGCGTCTGTTCTCCAGGACCAATCTCACCATGATAACTCATTCCTCCTCTTTCCATAGTTGGAATGGCTCTTGTCCCACAGGCTAGCTTGGCACAGAGAACTGAGATGATTTCTTCTCTGAAGAGCATTGAAACTTGGCACCTAAGTCCAATGTGTTCGCCCCTAAGAGTCTAGAAATGAGCAAGACTATTGACTTACCACTAGTGAAGGAAAGGGTCGAAGGCTCAGGTTGCTTTAGTTGGGAGTCTGGAATTGATGAATCAATAACACTACAGGAATGTGTCAAGCCTAGGCCTTTCTGAACCCCTGCATGTTTCTATCAAGAAATGAGAACTCTGTGTACACAGAGCACATTGCCGGAGTAATCACAGCTATCATCTGTTGAGATCCTGCCAGTTGCCAGGCAATGCTCATGGTCCTTTATATTTTCTTGGATGAAACTATACTGGATGAAGTATTATCATTGTCATTTTACAAAGGAAGAAACTGAGGCCATCTGATGGCCTCCCCAAAACTATCTGAAGACCTAAGTGAATGTGAAGCACTGGACCTGGTGTCTAGAATCCACTCAACCCAAGTCAATTGAGACCATTTCCCCTTGTGTCTTGAAAATGTGTTTTCTCTATTTATTTACATAATCAAATCAGCTGTTGTTAATGACTTCATCTTTTGCATGGAAATGGAATTTGATAGAGTTAAATAACTGGAATGAGGTTTATGAACTCTTAATTCAATGCTCTTTTCATGATAGCAAAGCAAGCTATATAGATCTCTCTCTCTATATTCATGAACATGGCCTTCGGATAATCCGACACTATTATTGCCAGTGAGGAGGTGATGGGGTGCTTCTGCGTGCAGGGCCTTACCTTGGGGAGCCTGTACTTTTCCCTGAGGTGGACTCTGAGACACGCCCTCTCTGCTTTCTTTTGTGTAAATGCAGCATCCCTTTCCATCCTACAAGGTAAAAAAATAAAAAATAAATAAAAGATCTTAAAGACACAGATAGTCCAGGACAATCTAACTGCTGCTCAGAGAATCTGGAACCTGGGATAGTCCCTAGTTTCCCTCTGTCAACAGACACCTGGGAATTCCCCAAATGTCTGCCTCTCTTTTACTCTACCTTCATCACTGGTACAGATCCAAGAATCCCAAACACACCTTGGGACTGGGGAAGTCTTTGAGATGTAAACTAGGACAGGGATGGAGTTTTCATTCCTGGTAACTGCCCACTTGGTCCAGGACCTTAAATCACCTATGAGGGAGCTCCAAGGTCTGACTCCAGCCATGCTGTGTCAGAATCCCTAGGGAGGGGGAGAGGGAGGACGGAAGGAGAAGGGGAGGAGGAGAGCTACATTTTCCCCAAATAATATAGTCATTTATGATACAAATATAATCATGCATGTTATAGTAATATAAGTAATATATTAAATATAATAATAACATTATATATCATGTAATATCATATATAATGAGGTACTGTACTAAAGTGGTATTACATATATTATAGTAAAATAATGTAAAGCTATTTCCCTTCATTGTCATCCTCTCCAGGTTCCAATTTAGGCAGAGTGGTCCTTCTGGTTAGGAGGAGGTAGAGCCAAACAAGGTAGGTTAGATTTCCATCTTGGCGGAGCAGAGTCCTGTGCTGTGGGTAACCTAACTGGACCTAATGATCATCCTGACTTGAACGGACATCCTTGCTGATAATAATCCAGACTGAAGCAGACGCTTGTGGGGTATCAACTCTTTATTATTAGAAAACTCTTAACATGAATTCCACTGTAACTTTTTAAAAATTAAGTGTAGATTATACTTATATAATGATTCATCTCAGAGTAATGGCGAATTATTGATGTTTACATTTCATAATACCCAAAGAAAATGCTATGATTATTTTCATGTTTACCTTTACTGTATTTTATATTGCCAGGAGAATGCCTTCATTTTTAGAAGTGTAGGGCTAAAACAGTTAAGGTTTAAACTATCATATCTGTAGTGTACTTTAAAAAAAGATCGTTTTATTTCATCTACAAGCCAAAATGGAAAACTATTAACTGTTGACTCTCCATGATTGGCATATGAGTATTCATCATACCATTCTTTTTTTCTGTATGGTTAGCATTTCCATAATAACTAGCTCACAATGTTTTCATAGTTTTGACAAAGCTACCTCTTATGACACAATTGTCACGTTGCATATTCTACATATTTTCATAAGAGACTGAGGAGGTTGCATTGTATGTTATTAACACCCCTGTACCCCACCTTTCCCCCTCCACCCCTGGTTTTCTAGGAATAAAGTCTGACTCTTGACTATCTGAAAATTGTCAGGAGGATACATTTCAGAAAGTTTGTAAGGCAGTTAGCCTCCTCCTATTGGGTTTGAACACTTAAAGTGAGGCCAGTTACAACGTGTAGAGCAGGAAGCATGAAGCTGCATTAAGAATGGCAGATAGATTCCTGGTGCATTGCTCACATCCACTTGGGTAGGGGGAGGCAAGGTGGCGGGTTCATTTTAGCAGAACAAACCTGCCTGGGATGCAGGGGAAACTGTCCAAGGAAAAGCATTCTGAAAGGTACAAAACAAAAAGCAACCAGCTGGGGGGCTGAGGGTCATGTGGCTAGAATTCGAGTCCTTGGCCTGCAGGGCGCAGAGCTGAGCCTACTCACTTCTCCTCAATCATCTGCTTCTGGTACTCCTCATACTCCTCTCTGGTCATCCCCTGCGCGGCCGCGGGGTCCGAAGGGCTTCCCTCTTCTTTCTTTTCTTCAGTCCCGCCTCCAAACCCGAGATTCTTTACCTGGTTACTTATCATATTTTTCACAAAGAAAGCCATGGCTGCTGCCCTGGAAAATGAAACCTGGAGCACAGACGAAATCTGAAAGAAAAAGAAGAAAAACAGAAACGAAAACCAACCAACCGGACCAAGATAAAACTCCAGCCAGCCTCCAGGACAGCTACACATTTAGGAGCAAAGGCTTTGCAGGGCCGCCTCTCTTCAAGGGCATGGTGCGAGGCCAGAGTGGTTTGTGTGCTGTAAGCTGGATTAAAGGGTGAACTCTTAGTATAGTGGCAGATGTTCCGATTACCAAAGCCCGCGATCAGATGCCACCGAAGACCTTCTGATTAATGCACTCAGCTAATTTCCCAGGGAAGATACCCCTCATCGTCTCAGGGCCCACCTCCCCCATTCCCCACACATTTTTCAATTTTATTGTCTTTGCAATGCTGAGGATCGAACATGCTGGGGTGAGTTGCTCCACTGCTAAGCTGTGCTCCTAAACCCTAATTTTTAAATGATCAACCCAGGAGGGTCTCATCAGTACAATTAATTAATCAGAGCCTACGGATGATACAGCGGTTGTGGAATTCCCAAATTCCAGTCTTTGGGTTCAACATCCTGTTGAAAACCCGAGTTCAATGAGACTCAAACTCAGAATGCTTCATTAAGCAAAAATAATCCTTTTGATCCATATTTTATCTCATTGGACTGTAAGTCCTAGGCAAAGATTAATTTTTTTTCCCGGTTGCTTGGATTTTGTCCTGCTTTGATGGGATATGCACAAGTCAGGCAATTGTGTCTAAAGGGTGAGCCGTGCTGGAAGATGAGGTTAGCAGCTCTGGCTCCTCATATACAGTACGTGGGAAGGATATGCTTGGTATTTTCAAGACAAGTTCTCCCTGTGCGCTGGGGTAGCTTTATCCCCTTACACACAGGTCACTTCCTGGGTCCTCTGAATTAGTCTGGATACAACTGTGACAGTTTTCTAAAGTAGCAGATTCACAGCTAGCTGTGGTTTTCTTCAGGTCAAGGTAAGAACTGGGGATGGCTAAGACTTTAATCTACGCTCGCATGTTTCTAATTAAGGCAAGGGGGAGGGAGGCAGGGAGGAACAGCTCTGGGCTATTTGGAACCTTTGCTCCCTGTTTTCTTAGAAGGCGCAGAAGCTATCTCAAAAAAAAAAATTGACCACCCCTTAGCATCATTACATAATCTGGATTTAAAAAAAAATAAAAATGTTTGTTTTATATATTTGAAAGGTCTGCTTTCTTTCTTTTTTTTGGGGGGGGGGGTCCAGTCGTGGGGCCTGAACTCTGGGCCTGGGCACTGTCCCTCAGCTCTTCAGCTCAAGGCTAGCACTCTACCACTTGAGCCACAGCGCCACTTCTGGCTTTTTTCTTTTTGCTTATGTGGTGCTGAGGAATCGAACCCAGGGCATGCAAGGCAAGCGCTCTACCACTGAGCCACCTTCCCAGCCCTGAAAGGTCTGCTTTCTGTTTTATATACTGCTCCAATGGCCTCCATAGGAAAGACAAATGAAGATAATTTGGGGTGAAATATCAACTTTACTGGGTGAACTCTGATTCAGAGCATACATTGATGTCTGCTTTCACTTCTCAGCACATTATATCTAAGTTTGTTCCATTTATCATGAATGATATTTCATCTCCATCTGGTGCTGCTATCGCTGGCGTCACCCACCTTTACAGACTGAACTGAGTCTTAGCACTTACTGTTTCTTAAAAGATGAAACAGCCGGGTGGCTCACGCCTGTCATCCTAACTACTCAGGAGGCTGAGATCAGAGGGTCCAGCCCAGGCAGGAAAGTCCGTGAGACTTTATCTCCAATGAACCACCAGAAAACCGGAAGTGGCGCTGTGGCTCAAGTGGTAGCCTTGCTCGCCTTGAGCTGAAGAGCTGAGGGACAGCGCCAGGCCCAGAGATCAAGCCCCACGACCGACAAAAAATAAACAAATAAATAAAAACGTATTTTATTTTAATGACCTCAACCATTATTATTTCATCATAGTATCTATTCTCTGAAAACAGTTTGTAAGGCAGTTTCTCCCCCTCTGGTTGTTTCCCGTGCCAGGTGTGAGGCGTGTAGGGGCATCAGTGTGCGAGCTGAACATCCCCGGCTACTGCCGTGCTGTATAAAATCAAATGTTACTGGCTTCCCCAACACGTCAGTTCATGGAGAGCAGAATCCTTTCTTAAAACCTGTTTAACTCCCATTTATTACAACGGCCCCTTTACACGATGTCCTGACTGTCCCTTGTGGGGCCCCCTGGCCTGGGTGCTCTTCTTGCACCTCTCCATTTGACGCATCCTGACTTAACTCAGTACTCTGTTCAAATATACTTCCTTACAGGGAATTTCCTGACCACGCTTAGACGAATGGACAGAGACTCTCCTGACCTGCTGTGGGCACTCTGCTGGATATTGTTTCCATGAATGCAGTTGTTCACTTTTCTATGACGGTGTCAGCTCTGAGAGAGGCTGGTCCAGTTTGGTCCACTTCTGTGCAGCTTCATCACTTACAATCATACTCAGGCCATGGTAAGTGGCTGATAAAAATCTGGAGGAAAAAAAATGAGTGAATAATGGCTTATTTTAAACCCATCATGAGTAGAGGTTAATGAAGTTACTGCTTTAGGCAGGGACATCATCTTAGCCCTCGGTGAATCAAAGCCACAATGGGCGCTGTCTTCTTTGCTGTCTCCCAGGAGTAAGACTACCAGCTATAGCTTCAAAAAGCGACATCCCACCCTGCGTTAGTGGATCACCATTATAAATACTGATTGGTTGTGACCTACTCAGCTTGAAAACTTTTGATGGCATCTGACCTAAAGAATTTGCTAGAGAAATAATAATCTCATTAGTGGGTTTTAGAAAGCTATCACATTCAAACAGCATAAATCAATTTAGGCCCTTCACTTGGGGTTTTCTTTTTATATTAAACTTAATTGTTTCGGCCTGTATTTAAGGCTTGTTTGTGGTGTCATTTTATTTTTGAAATCTATATCAAGAAACTGGCTTTCAGGTTGTCCTGGTTTAGTAATTCCATCCTCAGTCTGTCTGTCTGTCTGTCTGTCTGTCTGTCTGTCTGTCTGTCTGTCTGTCTGTCTGTCTATCTATCTATCTATCTATCTATATCTATCTATCTATCTATCTGGAGAGAGAGAGAGAGAGAGAGAGAGAGAGAGAGAGAGAGAGAGGTAAACCTGAAGGTCACAGAACTAGAAGAAAAAAATAAAATGAGGGAAAAGTCCTGGGAACTAGAAGGATCATTATAGAAACAACAAACAAATCAAATATATACTCTTAATTAGACTAAGTACCAACACAAGAAATATGGTTCTTGTTTTAGACACAGACACTTCATACATAGCTAATGATCTGTCTCAAAACATGCCAAATAACATGTTTTTTCCCCCTCTCTCTTTTTCCCTCCCTTCCTTTCTCTCCTTCCCTCCCTTCCTCCCTCCCTCCCTCCATCCCTCTCCTGCTCTCTTTCCCTTCCTTCTTCCCTCTTTTAGCTCTAGAGTTAGAAATCAGAGCCTGGTCCAGGCTGGATAGATGCTGTATCAGGGGAGCTACATCCTCAGCCCATGTTCTTTTTGTTTCTTTAGGGCTATTATTTATGTAGACACAAGGTTATCCAACTGCTTATGCAAACAGATTTCTCAATCACAACAGTAACATTTTCACTGAATTATAGTACTACATTTTCATTCAGTTATAGGACTTTAGAGCTCCTTCCACATCAGTTATCGGACTGATTCTAAACCATTTGGGACACTGGGTGCCCAGTACATCTTAATCTGTTCTCTCCTAAAATAACACATTTTTTAGGAAATGTACCTTAGGTTGGCCCTCCCAATCTTCTAGGACTATTCATCAATGTTATACTTGGTCTATATAAATCCCTACAGTATTTCTCTGGCCAGGACTTTCAACTTTTTGATCATAGCTGTCACATGTTGGTGAGGTGATAACTATATTCTTTCCTCTATCTCAGTCACACAAGTTCCATGCTAGGAGAAAAGTGGTGATCGGGGGTGAAATTGTGTTTGTTCTCAGCAGGATATGCTGGGCTCCATGATCTGGTTGTCATTGCTATCATTTCTGTGTAGAAGGGGACAATGGGAACTAAGACCAATCCCTGAATTTATTGCTTGCAGCTGGCCAGTTTCATCTGAACTAGGTACAAGCTTGGAGTTCAGGTACATTTGGTGCTATTGTTGAGTGGTGATTCATCTACTTGCATAAAATTTGAGGCGGTGCTTAGGAGGACTCATCCAAAGCAGACAATAAGCTTGCCTCAGTTGCAAAGCCTTAGTTCTTAGAGGTATGGGGTATGAACTTTTTATTAAGATGTTGCACAGAGGGGTTACAGTGACATGAGTAAGGCAATGCGTACATTATCTGTCGATCATTGTTACCCCTTCCCTTCCTTGTTACTGTTCCACTATCCCTTCCCTCCCCCACCTCTCCCCTCGCTGCCCGAAGTTGTAAAGTTTGTTTCCAATATACTGTCCTGTGGGTATGGGGTATTTTGAATGTTGTGCTTTTCACTCAGGCTCACCCTGGTCAAGGCCAATGAACTCATTAGCAACAGACCTGTAATTCAAGGTTAACAGCTGTTCTGAGAACTCTGGCACACTTTAGGACTTCCCTAACAATAGGAAGTAACATGCTAATAGATGAAAGTCATTCTTCATTTCACTGGACATGGGATGCCCAGATACCTACTGCCCAGCTATTTTGGATGTCTGTGGGCATTTACAAAACAAACTAACTACTGGATTGGTGGACTGAGTAAAGCAGATGACCCTTCTCATGGGGGTGGGGGGCAGGGGGCAACATCTAATCTAAGGGTTTTACTTGCATAAAGAAGTCAGAAGGAAATTGAATTTTCTCTGCCTGATCTGATCTGGGATGCTGGTATTCTTCACCCCCACCCCCCCCTCACTGTCCCCCAGGGCCTGGGAGCTGTCCCTCAGCTCTTCAGCTCAAGGCTAGCATTCTTACTTGAGCCACAGCACCACTTCTGGTTTTCTGGTGGTTTATTGGAGATTAGAGTCTCATGGACTTTCCTGCCCTTTGAACCATGATCCTCAGATCTCAGCCTCCTGAGTAGCTAGGATTACAGATGTGAGCCACCGGTGCCCAGTGATGCTGATAATTCTTTTTTTTTTTGGTCGGTCGTGGGGCTTGAACTCTGGGCCTGGGCGCTGTCCCTCAGCTCTTCAGCTCAAGGCGAGCGCTCTACCACTTGAGCTACAGCGCCACTTCCGGTTTTCTGGTGGTTTATTGGAGATAGGAGTCTCACGGTCTCTCCTGCCCGGGCTGGCTTTGAACCACGATCCTCAGATCTCAGCCTCCTGAGTAGCTAGGATTACAGGCGTGAGCCACCAGCGCCCGGCATGCTGATAATTCTTTAGCTCACAGAACTCCGATTCTCAAGACTTCAGATGTGAAATATGCACCATCTGTGCTCTGGATCTCAGGCTTTGAACTAGACCAGTGCCTCTCGCGGGTGACCAGGACCCAGACAGATGTGGGACTTCTCAGCTCCTATAGTTGAGACAGTACCTTATATGTCTTAGCCTTTTCTTAAGGCCACCTTTGCCCACCACAAGCATGGCAAGTGGTTTTTGTCCTGGATCTCTTCCCTCCAAGCCATTTTCTATGAAGACTAGAAAGGCGAATGTTCTGTCTGCTTAAAACTCTCCTGCTCCACCTCTGCTCTCTGGGAAGTCCAAGTGTGAGATCCCTAGTCCCTTCCAGTACAATTGCTTACCACTTCTCATACAAAATACCATTCCTCTCTGGGAGTAGGTTCTCTTGCAGGGACCCAATTGGGAGGATGGGTGGGTAAATTTATGCTATTCACATTAGGACTTGATTCAGATAAAAATTTCTTAAAAAAAAAATTTTTTTTTTGGGTCCAGTTGTGGGGCCTGAACTCTGGGCCTGGGCGCTGTCCCTCAGCTCTTCAGCTCAAGGCTAGTGCTCTACCACTTAAGCCACAGCGCCACTTCTGGCTTTTTTCTTTTTGCTTATGTGGTGCTGAGGAATGGAACCCAGGGCCTGATGCATGCAAGGCAAGCGCTCTACCACTGAGCCGCCTGCCCAGCCCCTCAGATAAAAATTTCTATGGCGATGCTCCATCCCCTCACCCACCCAAACATGCCTATTTCTGCAGTGATTTTTAGACGTCTTGGTGATGACACCACAATTCTGAAGTCCTTCCACTGTTCTTGTTGCTCCCTCCCTGCCAGGGGTACGGCAGCCACTTTATCACGTCCCAGCACCTGAATCTCCACGCGAATCACTTTCCAACTATTCAGCTACATCCAATTTGGCATCCAAATCAAATTCATCCTCCTGTATTTGTTTGGGTGGCTCTTTGGAGCTGTAAGCATCCTACTTCCCACTCTTGGCATGATTTGTGATCTTTTATAAACCCTTCAGTGTTGTCATTTTAGATGTACCTATCAGTTGTTTTTGACACTTATATATTCCTAGATTCTTGGAGGTGCCATTTTCTATTTAGGTGTCTATTTTTTTTTTTCCCTTTTTCTTATTTGGTATGTGATTTTTGGAGCCCATTTCCATTAAGAATGGCTGTTTTGGGGTTATCTGATGTACTTTGGTTGTGGAGTTAAGTGTGATTTTTGTCTTGCCTCCTGGATTCCACCAGACCAGAACTAATTTAGAGTTTCTGGCTTGGAAAATTCCACATCCTGCAGGCTGTCTACATGCTGTAAAGGCATAAAGCATACATCTGGGCTTCAATTTATGCTAGGGAAATCTGTTAGCTTTCTAAAGAGACGTTCCATGCCTTCTCAAGTTGCCAGGGCAGGGTAAGAGCTTCTGTTCACGGTGCGTTTCCACCAAAGCTGCAGCCCACTCAGCTTTGTCCAAGGGTCTCAGGCAATCTGGGTCTGAGGTAGCGTCTCTTATTACCCCACATACACATGGCTGTAATGCCTACGGCCTATATTCAGTTCAGTTTTTGCTACTACTCTCGGCAGGCTCCCTGAACAGGCTACACAATTTCTGAATTTTAAAAATCCCACCTATGTCTTTAAATCTTATTGGTGTTTGTGTTTACAGGAGGGGGTCCAAAAACCTGGTCTGATATGATTTGAAGCCTCCTTATAAAGACGCTTGGAACAGAGCTCTGAAGTGCCATAAGCAAGAGGGGCGACTGGAGGCCCCTGTAGTTAAGTGGCAGAGCCAAAATTCAAGCCCACCTCTGACTCCACAGCCTGCAAGTGGCTTACACGGTACTTGCTAAGAAAGTTTAAAGACTTTCTAAAATTGCCTCTGTCAACACAGGATTTCATTATTAAAAGTGAAAAAATCAAAGGCACCGTTGTAACTAGTGTCCACCCGGGGCCCTGTCTGCTTTCTCTGCTGCGTCCACAGCTCACCCCACAGGAGGCAGGCAGGCAGGCAGGCAGGCCACCCAGGCCCCAGGGCAGGCCGTGGAGCATGGGCAAAGGAAACATTGCAAATCAGGACCTATTTGGAAAACAAAGAGCTACTTACTACCCAATATTAAGGAGAAAAAAAGCAAACTTACTAAAATATTTCTTTATTTGAACAAGGTCAATGTCATTTCTTAAATTCCAGCTAGCATCAAATAACAATCAGGAAAAAAAAAAAGTAGACAAAATGTTATCCAATTGAAACTTGACAGTGGATAGAAAACTTTTTTAAAATTTTAATATCTTAGAGAAATATATTAAACAGGCAACATACAGATCTAAAAAGTTGCAAGTGCTGATTTTACATTAGATCTTATAAATAAAAAATCCTCAATAGAATTGTTCACTATCTCCCTTCAATAAGCACATGGACAGGGAAAGATAATCACATCTTAGTATCACAACTGCTATTTGTGTTCTTTACAAAGATTGTATCTCTGCAGAGCAGCAGGGCAGACAATCCCTTATTCAAGTAATTTCTATTTACCCCATGTTATAAGAAAGCACAGTTGTCTGAGACAGAATATCACCACAATCACATCAGGAAAGCAACAAGCGTTAGCAGGTGGGCTTCGCAATGGATTTCTTATAACATCAATATGATTTGAAGATAACTTTTTAAGTTTCAAAGTCATCACCAAAGTACCAATAGGTACAGGGAACAACCTGGATTTAGTTTGTACCTGCTAACAAACCAAGAGTTTTAGTAAAATTGCAAGTATAAAAAAATAGTGCACCAATGCTACTTTCATAGATAATGAAAATATCAGACTATGATCTCAGCTAGCTTGCTTTCTTTTCTGTCCCTTCCTTCCTTTCCTGCATTCTCCTTTCTTACTCTTTCGTGCTAGTATTAGGGTGTGAACTCAGGGCCTGGTTGCTGGTCGCCTAGCTTTTTTGCTCAAGGTTGGTGCTCTGCTACATGAGCCATATAGCCAGCTTTTTTGGTGGTTAACTGGAGATTAGAAAAATCTTCTGGACTTTTCTACTTGAGCTGGCTTTGAACTATGATTCTCAGATCTCAGCTATCTAAGAAGCTAAGATCATAGGTGTGAGCAATCAGTGCCTGGCTCTCGGTTCAGCACTAGACAAAATACCTATTTTCTTCACTCCCACTTTAGTGGTTCCTAACCATTACTGGGCTCAGAACCATCCACTATGCTCACTCAAGACTAAGCTTTGAAGCCCCACTTCTGAGTTTGAAGCAGTGGCTTGGGACTGAACCCTGGCGTCTGTATTATTAACAAACACTCCATGATCCAAATGGCCTAGGGACCGTATTTTGAGAAACACCAACCCACCTTTAAAATTAACAAAACACTGGTTATCATTTGTGACTTCATGGTAAAGTTTCAAGCTGAATAAAACATTCCAACAGTTAGAACACTAACAGGTATATTAAACAAATGTATTAGCCATAATTACAGTAACTGCATTTTCTTTTCAAAAGTGGCATCATAAACATAATGATCTATATTTAAAATTGAAAAACAAAAATTTGTTTTAATTCAAGGCACCTGTAAAATACTTGCTGGTGTGAGAGAGAAGTGAATTAATTCAATTACATGTAAGAATAAAGAAAATGAAATTCTGGCAGTGATATAACTTTTCCACAGAGCAAACACTTTTGCTCAGAAATGAGCAACTTAAAAGAGTCAACGATTTTGAGGAAGACAAACCAAGCTTCCAACAGTAAGAGAAGCCTCCTGCGTGAACCACATGACTGAGCTCATGTCCCATATCACTGCCTGCATGTGCTTCAGGAACGAGCAGGATGATTCCCCTTGAATTCTAGCCTGAAATACGGATTCTGCATAAATCTGGAATTCCTGTTCTTGTTCAGGCACATGTGACCAGGGACTTTAAAGTAATACTGGATTTGGCAGGTTTTGACCTCAAGAGGATTTCCCAAGCTTCGTAGGTCTACAATTCAAATTCTTCTAAAGGTATTTTATTTCATGACATAAATGGTCAATTCTGTGATGCTGATGTCTCTGAAACATGAATTTCAAAATATTAACACAACAACAAAAAAACTGTGAGAGCAGCATTCTGAATGCTGAAGTGGCTGAAGTAGAGTGACCACTAGGATATTCTTTTAGTGTTTGAGAGTCAATGCCCACATAGACAGCGGTGCGGCAGTTTGCACACACAGGACGGGTGTGCCACAGTGCGGAGCTCTTCACCAAGTCTTTACATAGATTTTAGGTCATCAGCCCAATCTGTAAATGACATTTAAGAGAAAACTCAGCCTTGGAAGAGCTCAAAAATACTATTTCATAAACAGAGGGTGCTCTGATACTATGGCAAATCAAAGATAATCAGTTGACATATGAGGTAAAAGGAATTTGAAGACAGCAAAATCTTTATCGGTTATGAAAACAAAAAGTAAACTTGCACTTTAAAAAATGTCACTTACAGCCAAGCATCGGTGGCTCATGCCTGTAATCCGAGCTACTCAGTAGGCTGAGATCTGAGGATCACGGTTTAAAGCCAGCCCAGCCCAGGCAGAAAAGTCTGTGAGACTCTTATCTCCAAAAAAAAACCACTAGAAAACTGGAAGTGGCACTGTAGCTCAAGCAGGAGAGTGCTTGCCTTGAGCTGAAGAGCTGAGGGAGGGATAGTGTCCAAGCCCAGAGTTCAAGCCCCAGGACTGACCAAAAAAAAAAAAAAAAAGTCACTTACAGATGGTTTCTCTAATTCTGAGAACTATGTACAAAGACTATAAAATCTTCCAGTCTCACATTTCATGGCTTAATTTGCCAACAAAAGGAAGAAATGCCAAGAATTGCCTTGATTTTTCTAATATTGCCTTCAAAAATCTTAATATTGATCCTACAACAGCCTCCTTGATTCAAGAGTCTCCAAGAAGTCACAAACTCTGGTTATGTGGTTGTAACCAGAATATAGTGGTAGGTTTTGTGAATTTAAATATCCTCAGAATATGCAATGAGAGGCAAATTATATGCCAGATAAAATGGATGAAAAAAATTCCTTTAAAAATATAAAAATGATTCTTATAATAGTGAACTGACACCACTGGAATGAAAATATTCAAGAACATGGGTCACCATGAAATAAATGTATTTCCAGGTAAAATATCCATGAAAAATCATTATCACAGGAATGTTTCCACCTAAATGACGTTTTTAGGAAAAAGTAGCTCTCTTAACTTTCCCTCTCAATTTAAAAGTGAAACATAGCAGAGGAAGAAGGCATTTCATTGAATAGGTTATGAGTTTACTGTCAACATTCTAAAGCTCTCAGATAAAACAGTTTTCGATTCCGGGGTGAGTGGTGTTAAGGACTGAGGATGGGAAGTTAGATGAGGAAACTCTGACCTTTAAAAAGGACTTTGGTTACAAAATACATGATGAGGGCCATTTTAATTATACCTTTTATTTTGGGGCGTAGGAGGCAAGTGCATTTGTGTGAAATAAGGAAATCCACTACTGGAAACTTAGACGGGAACACTCTTAATAAAGGGACCGCCTCCATTTTCTATTATTGACCCTTTTACTTTCTAGTATTCTGATCAGTGACAGCATTCTACTGATCAGAAATTCACTGAAATTTAAACAGATTTAGGAACTATGAACACATTTATATGTGGTTGTCTTTAAGGTTTATTCTCACTGAAAACCAATGTTTAAACACTTCTTTCATACAAAATTTAATAATTTAGCCTATGAAGTAATTTAAATACTTATGTTCCCTCAAAAAGACAACATTTTTGCGCATACATACAGGATGTACACATACAAAAAGGATGGTCAAAAGAATTTTTTGGCAGCTGCTTCTTGCTGAGTCCTATAAACAAAGGAAAGGAAAATTAAAAGAAGTTTCCATACTGGATTTCAAAAAGAAACAGAACTGACTTCATATTAAAATACGAATGCTTTTGAAAGCATAAAATACATTAAGAAAAGTATATATTCTATACATGGACTTCTAGTGTGAACTGAAATAAACTAGAAAAAATATATACTTGTATACAATTATTTACACATTTGCTGAAAGTTGTTTTTATGGGCATATTTAATTCCACCAAATATTTCAACTGAAAGAGAGAAAAGACAAGGTTGCATTTTATTAAGACTTACCTGTACATGATATAACCAATGAACAACACCGTTTGTACCACTACAAATATGACGAAGTGGACAGTAGATAAGCATGACGGGAACGGCGGGAGTTCAGGGCATTTCGGTTTTTCATTGGATGGCTATAAGACAAAGAACTTGGATCATAACTACACTCATAGTTTTTAAAGACATAAATGCAACTGTTACAAAACTCATCGTTTACTATATAAACAACTATTTTCATTTATTCACTTTCCAACTGACTTTCTATCCCTTTAAATTTTATTTATGTCTTCTAGTCTGGACAATAAACTGCAAGGCTACCCCACTAAGGAACTACTTGACAATACGATGGCTCTTCCTCAGACCCACAGCATTCACCCCCCCCCCCCCCGACTGTAACTCTAAAATAGGTGTTTTATTCCTTATTTCCCTATCTATGTAGGTATTTCTTTCATTTTAAGGAGAAAATTAAATATCAGGGACAAAGATTTCACCTACGTCTATCCACACATAATGGCTTCTAAGATGAGTTGTTTTCCATATGATTACCTCATATCAGGCAAAGTTTTTTTAGGACACATGTGCTATCTGTGGCATCAACTATCACATCAAAGGGGAAGAGGAAGAGGAGGAAGAAATAATCTCAAATAGGACTAGCACACAAATGCTTTGGATGAGAAGTCATGCTTGGTAACAAACTTATGAAGCCAAATTTACAAACATAATTTATATATTTGTGGTCTATACATAAAAATGCCATGTCATAAGTCCTTGAGTTCAAAACCCACTACAGAAAAAAATTTAAAAAGCCACCTTTCATAGGCAGGTGCTGGTGGCTCATACCTGTAATCCTAGCTACTCAGGAGGCTGAGATCTGAGGATCAAGGTTTGAAGCCAGCCTAGACAGAAAAGTCCCTGTGAAACTTTTAGCTCCAATTTACCACTCAAAAACTAGAAGTGGTGCTGTGGCTCTCAAGTGGTAGAGACCTAGTCTTGGGCACAAAGAGGCTCAGCGAGCACTAAGGGCCTGAATTCAAGCCCCACAATCAACAGAAGTCAGCATCCAAAAATATAAGGGCAACAAGATTAGAAGTTGAACTGAGGACTTACGTTTCCTCTCTTTACCATTTACTAGCTAGTAAACTTGAGAAAACTCACTTTAATATTAATAACATATTAATCTAACATTTCTTAAAGTACCTCAAATTAAAGAAAAGGTTTTTACAAAGATAAAACTAGCCAGGCATGGTGGTACATGTCTGTAATCCCAGTTACTTGGGAGGTAGGAGGATTGAGAGTTCAAGACCAGCCTGGAAAAAAGTAGTAAGACTTTGCTATAAAAACAAAATAAGAACAAAAAAGTTTAGGAGCACAGCTCAAGTACTAAGGAGGCCCAATAAATAGGTAAATAAGTCAATAAATAAGGAAATTAATTAAAAAGTAAAAAAGATAAAGCCTCATATAAAATGTAAGTAGCCAGGTCTGCTTCTAATAAGTTTGACTAGGAACTATGGACCAGTCGTATTGTCACCCAAGTCTTATACAAGGCAATTGCAGAGCCAGGAAAGAATCCAGTCCAATCCCACAAATAACCTGTGTTTGGTTGATGGCAAACCCAGGTTAACAAGATAGCTAGAAAGATCAGATCAGAATCTTTGGGGAAAGACACGTCAAAGACATTATAAAAACCCATGGATCAGAGACAACACTAAAATGGGAATCAGAAAATATTTCATTGGATGGTACTGTAAATCCCACACAACAACTCCCATGCCATCATTCTGCCCTGCAGGGGTTAATGGCTAGAGGCACTAAGCTCCACCTTAAGCAACTAGGAAACCAAAATAAAGGGAATTTGGGAAATAGAGAGCAATTCTAACTTAAACCATCATCAGCATCCTCAAGCATTAAGTATTTCAGTCAAGTGAGTTCTTCCCTTTCTGCAGAAGGCAACGGTAACTACAGAAGGAGAGGGAACAGGTTACCAGACTCCGCTGTGCCAAGCTGTCTATGTCTCTCTTCACCACGTGCAGGTGCTCCTTGATGTCCATAAAGTGCTGCGTCGACTCATAGACGCCGGCAGCGCCTGGGTGCTGTATGCCACTCACCAGCCTCACCGTTTCACTCATGGAGTTCCTGAGACAGAAAACCCCTTTACCCAGTGAAGTCACTAGAAGGACATTTTTTTTCAGTCATAGGTTAAATAGTTCTATACCTTTTAAAGTTGAACATAGGAGGTATTAAAAACAACAAAAGAACCCAAACCAACCAACCAACTAATGAAAACAGAAGCCAGGCATGGTGACACATGCCTATAATCTCTGCACTGCGTAGGCAGAGGTCAGATGATAGAGAGTTTGAGGCCAGTCTGGGCTAACAGCCCAGTTTTTGTTAAAAAAAAAAAAAGAAAAAAGAAAAAAGAAAAAAATAAGCCAAGCCATGATTGAGTGGTTGCCTATGGTTTTTGGTAGGTGCCACTGCCCACCATTGTAAGAGAACAGCACAGCACATACAGTAGCCTAGGAAAAGAGCAAAATTCAGAACTAGAAGAAATGCTTCTAATGAATGCCTACTGCTTTCAAATCATGGTAAAAAATTGTACGCTGAACTCCCTTGGGGACCCTGTGTCTGCGAGGTAACTGGAGAAGACAGCCAGCAGTGGGCGCCTGCTCTTCCCTGGACTCTACCTTGTATCCATCCCAGTTTTCTTTGTTGACTTGACTTTGTGTGACTTTGTTGCCAACGAGTGAAGCAGCTTTTCTGAGTTCTGTGAATACTTTCTGTGAATCTCCAAACACAAAAGTTCATTGTGCCTATTTCTCTCTGCAGTTCTATCAAATGACACCAGCATATAAACCTAGTGCTTTGCTGGGCACCAGTGGCTCATACCTGAAATCCTAGCTACTCAGAAGGCTGAGATCTGAGGATCACAGTTCAAAGCCAGTCTGGGCAGATAAATCCATGAGACTCTGATCTCCAATAAAGCACCAGAAAACTGGAAGTGGTATTGTGGCTCAAGAGCTAGCCTTGAGCTGAAGAGCTGAGCGACAGAACCCAGGCCCAAAGTTCAAGCTCCACGACTGCCAAAAAACCCCCCAAAACCTAGTGTTTCAACCAGAAGCCGACCAAAGACGCATCTGTCTGGCCCAAATATGAAGTAAACACAGTTTGTTAAGTTGAAGGATCGTATGGCAGTCTCAAGTGTAATGGGCTTATTAAAAGGTAATTCTGACAATACACAACATTTTGCCTTACATCCTTGAAAGCTATGATTCCACAGTTAGATCATACTGAAGGTTAAGTATAAATTTTTAAAAATTATATAGGATGTTAGAAGCAACAGACACTTGAAAAGTAGGTATGAAATATCACAAGTGCTTTCTGAATCAATGTTATACAAAATTAAGTTTTAATAGCATGTGTGCTCAAGAAAATCTGCATGACTCTCAGCTTTTGAATTAAAACATCAATTAAGAATTACATTTCCCCATGACTAAAATGCTTCCTTCCAAATATAACTTTCTAACCTGAATGCATGTAAAAAATGCAGTCATATTTAATATTCTGAGAATATTGCTTTTCAGAAAAGAATACTGTTTAAGTAAAAATGTCCTTTAAATGTACACAGATTCAAAGTTCTCCTACTCGATCATTAATTTACCTGTGATGGGCATGTTGTAAGTTGGACAGCAATTTTTAGGGAAATAATATGTGTGAGAAAAATATAATTCCTGCCTTGCTGAGACTAACAGTCTACAAGCACTGTCTTAGAATAACTAGAGCCCTACAAAGAAAAATGTAGTTAACTGATCTGGTGCCTAGGGCTGAGTGTTATGGGATGGGGAAAGGTCTAGTGGGAAGATCTGTGGGAAAAGGAAAAAGGGAATAGGCCAAATGAAAGAAGTCTAGATAGAATCTGGGGAAAAGCACCTTCTAAGGGATGATGGAAGATAGAACAAAAGTGAAGAAACTAATGGAAGCAGAGAAGTCAGAGAACACAGAAAAAGTATGTTAGAAGTCTTAGAAAGTTTCAAGATGGAGAATTGGGTCCAAGCATCAAATACTTCAGTGAGAAGGTCGAACTACATTTAAAGATTCTGTTTTCAACCACCTCCCCCCAAAAAACAACTAAGATTTCCTAATATAAAAATCCATAAAAAACACAAGCCACCCTGGTAAGTTGTAAAGGCAACTGTTTCCTGTCCCTTTAGGTTTCTTTCTGAAGCTAAAATCTGAAGAAAAAGTTCTAGAGCACTAGCCCAGAAATTTGAGTGTAGTTGCATTAACTTACATGGATGACATTTGTTCTTACTGGTTAAGTGGGAGTTTGAAAGGCAGGTCTGTACCAAATGCTTCCATGGGCAGTAGAGTTGGGGGACTGGGAATTCCTAAGCACAGCTTGGACTCTAAGAGCATCTGGAACACAGCACCCTTTACAGAAGAAAGAAGACCGAAAATAGGTGGGAAAGGGTAAGAACCAAGGGGAGCTGGGAACAGGTGGCAAAGATGGGTGTAGATGCGTGCATGCACACACGCGCGCGTCTTGTCTGTCTCTACACTGGTGGGGGGCGGGAGGGGAGGAAGAAGCGCCAGTATCAGCACTTTAATCTACTGCATTGTATCAATGTTAATTTCCTGCTTCAGACAACTATATTGTGGTTAGGTGAGAGCTCAACACTATGGTAAGCAGGTCAAAGACATTTGAAATCTTTTTTTTTTTCATTTTCTAAAGTAAAAAATTAGATCATAATTAAAAAGTTCTGAAAAATGGCATGTTACAAGATTCAGTCTATATTCATAAAAGAATACTATTCATTTAGCTTTAACTACTTGAATAGTTCAACTATTCATTTGTTCACATTTTAAGAGGTGTTTTTTATGATAAAGATGTCAGTGCTCTAAAAACTCAGCTTATGGAAATGTGACATTTTGACCTGCTCTAGGCATAAGCAAACCATTCTTACTACAAGTTTATCATCTAACATCCAAAGACACCTTTCTTCTCTGTTTCAACTTTTGTCCAGTTTCTCTTTGGGTACGAAATGGGAATGAAAGAGGTTGTCACATAGCTTCTAAGTAGCTTCATAGCATCAAAAAGAAAAATAAGTTCCTTTAGGTGGGCACAGTAGGTCACACCTGTAATCCCAGTTACCTGGACAGACAGGGGCATCATAGGTCTGAGGTTAGCCCTAACAAAAAGTAATTAAAACAAAAAGGGCTGGGGATGGAGTGGTAGAGTGATTGCCTAGCAAGTACAATGCCCTAAGTTCAAGTCCTGAATTCAATTCCTAGTATCACACACACACAAGTTCAAGTCCTGAATTCAATTCCTAGTAACACACACACACACACACACACACACACACACACACAGAATTCCTGCACTGTCTGCTTATATTGGAGCTCTACAATGCTGAATATACTTATTCTCCTAGTATTTCTCAGACATTTGTTACATAGAAATCCATATTCTTTTTGAGTTCTCTAAATATAAGCACATGCCAGCCTCTATCAAGTACCTATGTCAAACTTTTTTGTTTTTGAAGATGTTCAATTTTTGCTTTTTCAGCCTAAAAGTAAATATTAAAATATAGATGCTTACATGGAATTTTTAAATATTAAAATGTATTAGTACCCCTGTTTTTACAAAATGAACTCAGAATGTGATTCTTACCTTCACGGAGGAAGATTTTAACACATACACCTTTCTTTAGATAAGGGTATCACGTAACACTGAGATGCTACATTTATATACTTACTTCATTTCATTTACTTGTCTCATAATCTCCTGCTGAGTTTTCACAACAGTATCCAGTTCTTGCTGACTAATCTGGAGGAAAAAAGACAACAGCTCAACACTCCACGACCTACCAGAGCACTGCACACAGTAGCCTTTTTCTCTCCTTTCCTTCAGACAAAGGGAAAGGCCTATCTGTGGATTTGAATGCATACCTGCCCATGCTGCCCTGGGACCCCTGCTCCTCTTTTAGAAATCTCCTCTGTCAGCGACGAGACATATCTTCTCTGCTCATCTAGAATCATATCCAACTGCCGATTCAGCTGCTTGATTTCAAGATGAATACGGTTCTGGCCTTCAAAAATTTGTCTTAGCTCACGATCTCCTACACTTTCAAATACGTCATCTGCTGAAAAGTGATTACAAATTAAAATTAATAGACCATATAGATGGTTTTGAAGTACTGCAATTGGCACAGTGCCAACAAATGCCAAAACTAGAATATCACCAACTTTGTGGTATGATATCCCAAATACTAAATGTACATAACAGTAAATTTAACTAGGTTACTATTTGTTTTTTAGTATCCAATGACTTAACATATAAATTAGGCCTGAACTTTTCTATTTAAGTAATTTTCTCTTTCATTTACATAGTATGATTTTATTAGGGAGAATCAGTATATTATATTAGAAACAAAACAGTGATGGGTCTGGGGGGAGGGTGTTTATATCTGAAGATGGATGGGGACTTTCTAGGGTGACAAAAACATTCTGTACTCTGATCTGGGTGATGGTTATGTTTGGTGCATACATTTGCCAAAACACAACAAACTGAGTGTGTAGATTACATGCTTTATATATGTATAGAAGGCACATGAACATATACATATATATAAATATGTATCTTCACATACTACAATCAGCTTCAGGATATAATCATAAGTGATTATGCTATAATGTTTAAAGCAAATTAAAGAAATTCACATTTCATTTTTACTTCCATTAGGCCTAACTCTTTATTATTGCAAATTTAAACACTCCAAAGGCCTTATTAAATAAATAGTCCTGATAATTTATACTGATAGGGAGTAATAAGCCCAGCAGATAATGTAAAGTCACACTATTTTCCTTAACATGCAGCTTTGACATACTTATAAAGCTTAATTTCATTGGATTAGACTAGCATTCTAAATTATACTCATTAAAGGATTCTTAGTAGTAAGAAAAGTAGATATCACCTACTCTTGCAACAGTTTTGATAGATTTCAAGTATTATCACTATGGTAATGACTAAAAGGAGACATAATCCTTAGTAATTTCACTTAGCAATTACTGAGCCTCAGCTACTAATACTGCACTGCTATGGTTTTTGTTTGAGGTTCTGAAAGCACAATACTGAACACAGAAACAAAATGCCTATCCTCACAAAATTCCCATTCTTTTTTATTTTATTGTAAAGATGGTGTACAGAGGTTACAGGTACATGAGTAAGGCAATGAGTGTATTTCTTGTCGAGCATTGCTACCCCTTCCCTTGTGTTCTCCCACAATTCCCACCCTTGTCTTCTGGCAGTAATAGGACCTGAACTCAGGGCCTTGAGCTTGTTAGGCAGGCATCTGAACCACACCCAGGACTCTTAAGAGCTTCCACTCCAGCTCACTGTTCATCTCTACACACACAGTACTTTTAACTCACATGTCATTAAAGCCACACTCGCTTTTGCCAATAGACTCAAGATTTGCTTATCACCTTTTCAGAAATTTCATGGAACGTGTAAGTGCAGAGAGCAGGGCGAATCAGGCAATACAGACACAAACATGCAATATGCAGCTAGGGCTACAGCTATGCGCCAGCAAGAGCTTTGCCATGACTCACCCGGCTGCCCTTGCAGGTCGGGGTGGCCCTTCTGGAACTCCTCTTTTTTTTTGTCCAATTCTTGTTGAAAGTGTTCAAACTCCTCCTGATACTTTTCCTTTTCTTTTTCTGAAATCTCTTTATCTGGTGTAGGCTGTTTTTGAAGTTTAAGAAAAAATATAAACAAAACAAAAAACAAACAGAAAAGGGAATCTGTGAGACATCTTAATACCTTTTCTCATGCTAACTACTCCACTACTGGTTGGAAACTTACTCCTTATTGATATCAGAGCCAATTTTACTTTTTTTTCCTTCACATTAGTACTAAGACTTGAACTCAGGGCCTGGGTGCTGCCCTTTAGTTTCTTCAATCAAGGCTGGCATCTTACCACTTGAGCAACAGCTCCACTTACAGCTTTTTGCTGGTTAATTGGAGATAAGAGTCTTATGGACTTTTGGCTTTGAACCTTGATCCTCAAATCTCAGCCTCCTGAGTAGTTAAGATTGAGGGTGTGATCACTGGCACCTGGCCCAATTTACTTTTGCTACCAAGAATAGCACTAAAAATATCAATATTTACTGATGGAAAATGCACTTGCACTTTCTGTAAGTGCACTAACTTCCTACACCATCACAAAGCGGTCAGGACAGGTATCTGTTAACCAATGAAGAAATAGTGCACCACAGAGCTTCGTAGGAGATCATGGGCAATGAAGAGTAGAAACAAGACACAAACCTAGGACAGTCTTCCCAGTCAGACATGAGGCAACACTGTTGGAAAACTGAAAATAAGCTGTTGGAAAAACATTGTCTTCACTTACCGGCTCTTTTCCGGGCTCAGTTAGTTGGAAAGTCAGAAAAGAGAGAACATCATGGTCATCTATGAATTAAAAAAGAAGTCTCAAAAAATTCTATTATGGATTTTTACAGTTGTCAATTTACCGTATAGTATTTGTTGCTTCAAAAAACTATCAGCTCTAATTTGGCAAAAGTAATAGTGTTCTGTGAGCTTAAGAGACAAAAATTCATTACATTAGAAACCAAAAAGTCTTCACATTAGAAACAATGTACATTGTCACAGAAGCACTGTATTATCAATCTGACTTATAGAATTGTAAACTAACCCCTTTGTACAACTATTTAATAATTCTAAAATTATGGTAAAATGGCACAGAAAAGAAAAAGAAATGATGTACATTCACTTTCTCTGTATCTTATTAAACATCTGTTATAAGTGTTTAACATATAACAGATGTTCAATAATGTCAGATAAGGAATGGTAAGGGATGAACAAACAGAGTCAAAACAAGCGTAAACTACTAATTCTGGAACCACAACCCTCCCATATTTCCCCCCAAATCTTCTTGGCTGATAATACCCAATCAAATAAGATGAAATCTTGGTTACATATTTTTGGTACTATCTGACTCAAAGGACATACAATTTTTTGCCTTTCATATTTGCAGATTTGGATTTTATCTAAAAATCATAGAAAGCCAAGTTTATTTTAAGCTGTTTCCGCAGCCTGAACCTCATAACACTAAATACCAGTTCTGGCTAGTCATATGCACAAAGCAATTTATTTCAAGTGTGCAGTAATCTTTTTTTCTGCCACTCCTATGGAGATCTAGAGATGTAGGCAGATTATACGAACACATACACTACTGTTACAGACTGGGTAACTTGAACCAGACCACAACTTCCTGAGAATAACCATTACTGTGAACTTCAGAAAGTCCTATTTATGATTTGGCAAGCTCATTTAAAAATTGAAATGATATGGAAGTGGTGTTGTGGCTCAAGTGGTAGAGCACTAGCCTTGAGCTGAAGAGCTGAGGAACAGTGCTCAGGTCCAGAGTTTTCAAGCCCCATGACAGACAGGAAAAAAAAAAAAAAGCAGAACAAAGGGTGGGGGGTAGGGGGGAGGTGAAGGGTAAACAAAGGAGGAAGCTGCAATGCTTGGTAAGAAATGTATGCATTATCCTGCCCATGTAATTGTAACCCCTCTGTACAGTATGTTCTCAAATAAAATAAAATAAAATTAAAAAAAAAAAAAAGAAAAATCAAAACCATATGATTTTTCACTGGGCACTAGTGGCTCATGCCTGTAATCGTAGCTACTCAGGAGGCTGAGACCTTAGGATCACAGTTTAAAACCAGCCCAGGCAGGAAAGTCCGTGACTCTTATCTCCAATTAGGCAGTAGAAGACTAGAAGTGGAACTGTGGCTCAAAGTACACTCCCCTACCCCCCACCATGATTTCTCTTCCTTCTCTTCCCGGATTATATAATTTGTACTTCTGAATATTATTTAAAGCGACATTGCACTATATAAACACAAAATTGTATTAGTATGGAATAACTTCAATTATCACATATCTTTGTTTAAAGTCTGGCCCCCAAAAAACCATCTCCTAAGGTTGTCAAATTCATTTATATGTGATGTGTCAACCCACAGTCCTCAATTGACAATTAATCTCTTAAAGCCTCTATATTAAACATGGTTCCTTTACTGATTCTGTAATCTGTGTATTTGTATGTGCTTGAGGCAATCGTATACTTATAGAACAACACAGGTTAAAAAAAAACAAAAAAACAACAGTCCCAATAGAGTCAAAGAATGCCATAGCACACTAAGGGGCCGAATAATCTACACAGTTCTACATAAACAAGTATATATGTCTTTAAACTGTACAACAAGAAGCAATCTATACATTTTCAATATAAGACAGTAAACTTACCTGCAAGACCTCCTGTGGCAGCAGATATTCCAAAATGTCCTTGTGGGGGGATAACCATATTTTCTACTTTGGCGCAAAATTCATAATCATTTTTGTCTGGTGTAAAGCCATTATTAATCATTACCTAAAAAGAAAAATTATAGCCACAGCTGTGTGACATTATGGAGTGAACTGATCAATTTTATTAGTAGTTATATTCAATCTTCCCTTCATTATTATAAAGGGTAATTTAATATTTCTCATGTGGCATTATTGTATACGATAATGGAGCTGGGTTCAACTCACAATTCGTTGGTTAGTTACTTGGTTTGGCACTGTTCAAGTACTTAAACTCTCCCACATTCAATTTCCAGTGTTCTAGTCACTGGGAGTTAACTGTGCATAGAGTATAGAGCACAAGTGTGATAATTTAAGGGTCAGGAATCTAAATCTAAATCATCTTTCACACATACCATTTTAACAATGTTGGGCCCTATGTTATTTTTCAAAACTGTTAATTGGATCATTTCACTTCTTGCTTAAAACTCTGAACTGTCTTAAAAGTTCCTCTTAGGATAAACTGTAGTACACTCCACTCAAGGTCTGTTACTCTCAACCTTTCAGTGTCACCTCCTCTAGATCTCTTGTCTTGGAGCCATATTTTCTTCCCTCAAATATTTCAACCCCTCTCAAGGTCCTGTGACTGCTTTCTGTGGCTAGAAAACACACACACACACACACACACACACACACACACACACACACACACACACACACACACACACACACACACACACACACACACACACACACACACACACACACACACACACACACACACACACACACACACACACACACACACACACACACACACACCCTTGCTTTCAGACCTTCCTTGTAATCCCACAGAATTACAAGATTCTAACCACAGGATTCCTTGATGGTACCTGTGTCTTTGTCACACAGAATAGAAATGGTATGTGTGTTTTGTCATTACTCTGTGTGTTCTTTGAAGGCAATGACCTTTGTTTGACTCATCTGCACATCCTGAAGTCTTGGATATGTATGTCACATATGCCAAACAGCAGGATGGTTAAATAAGGAAATGAACAAAGGAAACCTGCTGGCTAAGTTTTATGAGATGCTCAGGTTTGCCAGTTTTGAAGCCTCGTGCTTTTAACTTCAAGAACTCAAAAAGAAAAGTCCTACCAGAAAGCTGTGATTTGTTTATTATCACTTACTGTCAATGCTTTCTGGTAATAGATAATCTTGGCCCGGACAGGATAGGGTTTGTTACGGAAGTCCCTCTGGCAACTTGCTAAAGCTTGACTGGCGCCATCACTACAGCACAGAAGAAAGGAAAACAAACAAGAAACAGACTTAGGAAGTGTTTCAACATCTAAAATTCTAAAAGATTAATAGCAAGGTATGACTGAGTCTTAGGATACTTCAAGCTGTTTATTCTTAAGACACAAAGATGGCAGGCAAGTGTTTCCTGTGAGAACACTGGGTACACAATAATCTAATGTCACCATGGCTTGATAAGAAGGGGAATGACTTCCTGTGCTAAGGGAGACAAGCACAGAGGTCCTCTTATCCTGTGGCAGAAGCAAATCTCTCATGAGGCTTTTAGCTGCAGATCTATAGGCTTCTTTCTAAATCCACTGAACAGAGTGAGGACAGAAGGCCCAGGCACTTCTAACAGCTGCACAGGGATGGGTGATGAACTACCTGAACTGGCTGAAAACCACCAAGATGGGAAACAGTAAACTTACTGATTGGCTAAAAAGTAATTATTCCATAACTATATGAAAATTTTAAAAGATGTACATACTTAATTTATATACATTATAAATACACTAAATACTCAGAAGCTTTGCCATCCATTTACAGTTTTTACATAAAGCAGTATTCAGATAGCATAAGTGCCATACACTGTATACTCATTAGTTTGGTCAAGGCTAAACTTCATTTTTAAAGATCTCTTTAAATAAAGATTAAAAGTGGCTAGTAGCATCACTAAGAGCCAGCAACATCTGATAAGCCTTAAAATTAAATGAAAACATACTTGTTTTGAAATCTGAGATTTTTTTTCCATAGAAAGAACTTTAAGATAGAAACAAACTGTGACCTTCTCACTGAATTACAAAATGATAACAAAAAATAAATTGCAGTTCATATGGTTCAGATTTAGTTTGGTGTTCAAATCTGAATATATTTCATGAGGTTTCCAATGAGAAGCAGAAATGGAAATGATGTAAAAAAATCACACACTTACTTTTGATGGTCATAATGGATCTGTCCATTATTGCCCACGATTACTATAGCAGGATTATTTTTCTAAAAAAAACAAAACAAAAAAAGAAAACATTTAAAGTCCTGAACTTAAAAAAAATTTCCAGATCCTTCTTGATATGTCTCTTACAGATGAGACTGTAGGATTCAATATTTAAAAATATGATGATGGTCTTGGCATTTATGGAGTTGCAAAAGATCTTTAACTTGCTAATAGTGATGTTTAAAAACACCAGTGGAGAACAAGCAGCTGCTAACCCACCAGTTAATGCTTCCAATATATAAGCACATTTGTTCTTGAATATTTTAGAAGAAATCATAAAAACTGACCTAAGCTGGGTGCTGCTGATGGCTCATATCTGTAATCCTAACTACTGAGGTGGCTGAGTTTTGAGATTCAAAGCCAGCCAGTGCAGGATATTAAGACACTTATCTCCAAATGACCAGCAAAAATCTAAGAGTGGGCTGTGGCTTCAGTGGTAGAATATCAGCCTTGAAAAAGCTAAGGGACAGAATCCAGGCCTTGAGTTCAAGTCCCAGTACTGGCACAAAAAAGAAAAACAAAAAATTGACCTGTTCAAATAAATGGTTAACATAAACATAGCAAATGTATGAATACGTGAGTCAGCCAGAGATAGTAATACATAGGAATACTGTTATGAAAGCAAACTATTATGGTCTCTACACACTGCTGCTTTCGCTGCCTACATCTAAAGACTGACTCATGTTTACTTATCATAATTACTAAGTACAAGCTGGATGGGGAGAGTCATTGCAAAGTTCTGACTTAGGTCTCCATTATAACTTTAAGTTTGTGTATGAAAAATTTGTCTCCATAGTTCTTAGTTGCTGAATTCTCTGCTACATGGAGATTATGACCTGAGGAGTTCTCTACTGCCAAACACATCAGTGACAGATAAGATATGCTTCTCACAGCCTAGTCTGGCTAGGAGAAAAAGTGGGTAGCAATTCTGACAACAAATATACCTTTCCATCATTGTCAAAAGAATCAAAAAATATTCCAACACCATTCCACATATCAGCGGATCCAAAGACGGGGCCCTCCAAACCTTGATTTTCTGTATACCAAATTGCCTGAAAATACAAACAAGGAAGTTAGAAGCTAGTGGTATGTACTATAATCATACTGCTGTACATTATGCTAGGGCAAATGCATGTATCTGTATCTTCTCAAAAATAGAAATGTACATACTAGGCCATCAGCTCCAATCCGACCTCTTCCAGTTACTCGAAATGTCACCTCGACTTCCCAGTTCTCGAAGGCTGCTTTTGTCTTTGTCCATACTGATCCTCTTTGGCTTTTTAATGATGGTGCTATTCGAATTTGATCTGAACTTGGAATAGCATCTACAGCAGAAAGCAGAGAAGAAAAACTTTACGTTATAATTAGGCAAAATTAAAACATCAGTACTGAACCACTATATATAATCTATAGAACAATTTTGTTATAAAATAATTTCACGTTGAAAGTTACAACTTTGAAATTTGAGAGCTAACATCTCTTATTTATCTTTTGGTTTCTTGTAAGTGCTGGGGATTGAACCCAGGGCCTTGCAAGTGCATAAAGTAGGCGAGCACTATACACCACTTGAACAATGTCCTCAGCCTCATTTTTATACAAAGAGTATCTCCACAAAAATAAAAAATATAAAGACCACACCATCCAGTAAAAATTATAGGGGCAGAATGGAGGAAATGACTTACAAGGTAAATTTGTCTATTTAATCTTCAGACTTTCTATAAATATCTAAAAAACTTATGAATCGTATAAAAAGCCTGCAATGTATTGTGTCAATTTAGAAACCTTAAAAAACTCAAACACTGTGAACACTTACCACTGGGAATCAAGACACTTGTTCCTAGTCTGAGTTCAACTGTGATTCTGAACAATAATCTTTCTACTCTCCCAGACCGATCCTATGTTCATGTGTAAAATGAAGGGCTAGGATTGATTAGCCCCACAAATATCCCAAAACTTACATGCAAAATATTCAGCATATATGCAGAATATTTTTTTTCTAGGGAGAGAGGCAAATGAATTTTTTTTGAGGTACTGGGGTTTATACTCAGGGCCTCCAAGCACCCTATCACTTGAGCTATGCTCCCAGTCCTTCCATTTCAATTCAAAGTAAACTGTCTAAAAGAATTCTCAGAGAAAATTGTGGTTCCCACCGGTGATTTGTACTTCCAGCTAGGTTCAAGTCCTAATTCTATCAGTTACCAATTGTTAGTTTTAATCAAGTTATTCCACCTCTCTAACAACTTCATGGATATGTGCTTATGCAAATGTGTATACAGACACGCCTTGGGGATATCAGTTCAGCTTGAAAACACCAGAATAAAGCAAGTCACAGATTTTTGTGGCTTTTCAGCGTTTATTAAAGTTATATAGTATGCCTGAGTCTATTAAATGTACAAGATCATTATGTCTAAATTCTACATGTGCTTTAAGTAATTTACTTCTGAAGAGATTAGATCATCAGCTGTTGGAAAACATCAACAAACTTCAACTTGTGAATAAAAAACTCATAACGTGAAGTATGAGAAACTGATGTATGACAAAACTAGGTATGCTTATAAAAATGTTTCAATCCTCTTATTATTGGGCTTGAGCCTAAAGTTTTTGAACAATGCTAGCATTTCCTCCCAAATAGTAACCATTCTGACATTTATGCTGGGAAATAAAACAACTACAAATCACTTTACAGGTAGGAAACATTCATAAGAAGAAAAGCTGAGACATTTTTAGTGTGATCATTCACCATCTGCTACTAACACTTCCAAGCACTGAAAAGCCTGAGAAAGGACAACATGGAAAAAATACTGACAATCAGAAGACCTAGGTTTGAGTTCAGCTGTCCTGACACTTGCCAGTTATATAACCTTTTCTAAGAACATTTCCAAACAGCAACTGTTCTGTATAAATAACAGACAATACCTGCTCTGCCTGCTAAGGATCAACTCAGAGTATGAAGGTGAAAGAGCTTTCAGAGCTATAGTTAGAAAATGTTATCTTTTCTTTTTAATGCCCTTTTGGACCTAAGGATGCAGAATGACAGTGCAAAAGGACAAAGCTAAGAAAGAAACACCAGTTTATCTTGAACTTGAAGTCATAAAAGGCTGTGATTAAACCAGATTTAATTTCTCTATTTTTTTGTTTTGAATGGATCAGAGAGTAAATGAAGAGTGGATATGAACAATGGCATTAAGAGAACAGAGATTAAAAATTACAGTAACAAGAAAGCAAGATACATATCTGTATCTATTTCTAACATAGATTTCTAAAGATATAAATAGATAGGTATCAGTAATTCCCAGAGTCTACAGTACATACATAGGGCATGGCTAAAAATACATATCTCTATTTGAAATGTAGTCTACGAATACAACTTAAATCCCATAGGTAATTATACTGGCATTTTTGCAACACACTAACTGGTTATGGGTCTGTAAAATAAAGTTAAGGTAGTAAATTTTAGATTGCTGTCTTTAATTTCCTGATGTGTACATGTGAGAAAGAGATAGAAGCAAGTAGGCAATGGAGTGGTACAAAACAAAAAGTGTGAGTAAATCTACCACTAATACAAGTCAGCATCCTTCCAAAAAGCAAAATAAAAACCACAAAAAATTCAAGCACTTGTGTTTGGTATCATGTATATCATCTCTACGTACATTAAGAACAATGTTATCTTGATTTAAAAATATACCCAGCAGGCTTACAATGACTGCCAAATAACATAATTACACTGTGCTTCAACAACTTAATGACTTGGTCATTAAATAAAATTGAAATTTAACCTTATAATTACACATTAATTCGAGGGAAATGGCCTTTTTCTTAAAAGTATGCTTCCTATTTAGTAATTGCTTGTCCATAAACAAAACATTTTGTTCCAAGCTTTTGATAATCTAAAATAATATATACAAGGCCTCATATACATGGTTGCTTAATCACACAGAAAAGCATTTGCTACTTGTTGCACAGGTTGCATCGGATGGTCCCTGAACAGAGATTATTACATGCCAAGCGCTAAGGCAGATGGCTCAGTCAGCAGTTGGCACATCAGCACGTAAAACTGCAGGTATGTTTGTTTCTTTTCCAAACATGAATGCTCTAGCGGGACTTTGATTTATGAGTACCAAATACAGAGAAAATAAAACTTGAGGCAGTAATTATTTCCATTTCTCCTGTTCCTTTTTTTCCCCCTTGAAATGAGAAGCTATGCCACTGTCTCAAGTTCAGAAACCATGCCAAAGAGGGTATCCTGCTACCAAACAAAAGCGAGACTGTGCCTGCAGAGTGGCCTGGCGTGGAGACCCGAGATTATTCCCACTCTCCCAGAAGCAGCTTTAAGGTGAAGCCTGAGACGAAGGCATACACAGCCTCTCTGGAGCTGTCTAGGAGGGTCGGACACCAGGGAAGAGACGGGCAGGGGAGAGGGAGCTGCCAGGGCGGCTTTAGGTGAGGAAGGCGGGTGAGTGTGTGTGTGTGGGGGGGGGGCACGTGTCCCTCGGAGACGTGGCGTCCGGGTGAAACGCGACACCTGGGAGCCGGCTGGGGGGGGGGGGGGGGGGAGTGTACCGACGGAACACTACACCGCCAGAAGCAAGAGACCGAGGAAGGCCGGCGGGAGTGGACGGAGCACGGGGAAAACTCTCTGGACAACTGAGGGCCGGAGAGGGACCCGTGCCCTGAGGGTGCCCACCGCGGCTCAGGGGAACCCCGGCCCCTCCGGAGGCCCCCCCCCCCGGCCCCGGAACTCGCACTCCGAGGTCCCCGATCCCTCGGCGCTCCCGCCCGGGTCCCTCAGCCCCCAGCCCCGGAACCCCCGCCCCGGCCCCCCGGCCCCCAGCCCCGGAACCCTCGCCTGGCCCCCAGCCCCAGCTTACACCCCGCGTGGGCCCCCGGCCCCCAGCCCCGGAACCCCCGCCCGGGCCCCCCGGCCCCCGGCCCCCAGCCCCGGAACCCTCGCCCGGGACCCCCCGGCCCCCAGCCCCGGCCCCCAGCCCCGGAACCCTCCCTCGGGGCCCCCCCCGGCCCCCAGCCCCAGCTTACTCCCCGCGTGGGCCTCCGGCCCCCAGCCCCGGAACCCCCGCCCGGGCCCCCCGGCCCCCGGCCCCCAGCCCCGGAACCCCCGCCCGGGCCCCCCGGCCCCCGGCCCCGGCCCCCAGCCCCGGAACCCCCGCCCGGGCCCCCCGGCCCCCGGCCCCGGCCCCCAGCCCCGGAACCCTCCCTCGGGGCCCCCCCCCCGGCCCCCAGCCCCAGCTTACTCCCCGCGTGGGCCCAGAAGGGGACGGTCCCGTCACTCTGCACCAGGTGCGGCCCCTTGAAGCTGTATTTGTACTCGAAACGACGGTGTGGCAGCTCGGCCGGCGTGCCCGCGGCGCCGGCGGCCATGGCGTCGCCTCCCAGGCCATCGCCCCCGACGAGACGACTGAGAGACAGCAGCAGGGCATAGAAAAACGGTCGCGATCGGGCCTGGGGACGCTTTCGCCTGGATCCCGCCATCTTGGATTCTAGGACGCAGAGGCCGGCGGGAGAGGGAGGGGCGCGCGAGGCTGCGGATGGCCAACAGGGCGCTCGTTGATTGGTGGAGCCCGAGGGACCCCTGAGGGCAAGGGGTGAGCCCCGCCCCCGGGTCCTGGATCCCGTCAGCCCTCTGGCTCCCAGCATGGGTGGGCGTGGTCCGTGTGGGCGTGGCCATGGGGCGGGGCGTGGTTGTGGGCGGGGCGATTTGTCTCGAGCCTGGTCCCATTGGGAAGTGTTGGAACCTTTGTATGTTCTTGGGAATGCAGGAGAAGCGACCCTTGGCCTACCTGCAGTAGGCTTCCTCCCGCCACCCAAGAGACCTGAGAATCTGACAAGGTAAAATAAGTTCATGTCGAGTCATCTTTTCACATCTTTTCTCCACCTCATTCCATTCTTCTCCTTAGGCTTGCATTTCTACACAATACCGGTATAAACTCCATTCCTCCTCCTTTCCTGATTAAAAGAAGCCCAATTTGTTCAGGATGCTTTGCATTTCATGAGAGGTGGGTTGAAATGCCACCCACCAAATAGGCAAAACTTCACTTTGCTGATTTGTTTCTCTTCCTGCATGAAATGTGTATGCAATGTCTGACAGTGAAGCAGCCATGGTGCTACCACTAAAAACAATGGTGCAAGAAGTCACAGGTCTTAGATGATTTCCTTTAGCTCCTCTAATACCCAGGGCTGCCACTTTCATTTTCTGATAAGACTCACTCTTGTAAGCTTGTTTCCAAGTTCTGTTACAGTCAATTCGGTTGCCATAGACCCTGACGTGTATGGAGAGCTGATCTGCATCAGGCAGTCGTAAACATGAGTGTTTGGAGTGGTAAACATGCATGGCCTCATTTACAATGAAATGGACCCAATGTTTGAATCTAACATCCACCCTTTTGCGCTTTGCTTCTTTTATAAGAAAACTGCTTTCTCAAGCCACATGTCTACTTTCCCTAAAACAACATCCTGAACACTTTGAAAGCTTTTCTATAAGTTGTCACCAGTGATAAATCAGCAATTAAGCACCAAAGCTTTGAAGTTAGCTGGCTGGAGGTGAATCCCAGCTTTCTGAACATGTGTCTTGACATTTAGCCACTCAAAAACTCCATTTTCTCATGTGTAGGATGGAAATTAGTTTAAAAAAATCTGTCATCCATTTAAGAGAGAATTTAGTGCCTGTGCCTAGTGAGCTCCCACAACATATTAGCCACTTCGTGACATTTGCTCACCTTCCCAACAATAATGATGAAAAAGCCATCTCAGCCCCAGAAACTCAACCAGTTCATTGTGGGTGCATTCACCTAACACCCAGTCCCCTTCCCCATATCCATCTCTTCAACTTCAGATAGGAATTCATGCTGAGTGGGGTGAGATTTGGACTGACAGACTTTAGATTAGGATTAACTGCCTAACTCCTCTTAGGTAAGCAGCAGACATTGTGTGAGTAGTCAAAGAGCCATCTCAAAGGTTTGAGAAGATCAGAAATAATAGAATTTATTGATACATTTTCTACTTGTATTATGGGACTTAGTACTAAGGAATTTGCCACTTACAATAAATTGGGAGATTAATTTCTTCCTATTTACCCCTAAATCAATGAATTTTATGAAGGTAAGAATTGCTTGGAATGCAGTTTAGGTTAGAGAGTGAAGGGAGAATGATGCTATATTTGTCTTGTATTGGTCTTGGTTATCTGTTGATGTGGAATGTGTCACATGGGAGGTGAAAGGTCCATACACTCTCAAATATTTGTCTTATGAAGCCAGATTATGCAAACATGATTTCCCCATTCTATATGTCTAGAAAAACTGATTTTTTTTTCTTTTGGTCGTGGGGCCTGAACTCTGGGCCTGGGCGCCGTCCCTCAGCTCTTCAGCTCAAGGCAAAAACTCTATCACTTGAGCCACAGTACCACTTCCAGCTTTTTCTGTTTATGTGGTGCTGAGGAATTAAATCCAGGGTCTCATGCATGCAAGGCAAGCACTCTACCACTGAGCCTCATTTCTAGCCTGAAAGACTGATTCTTTAATCTTGATTTTATTTGTTGTTTGTTTTTTATTTCAGTTCTTTTGCAATATTGGAGATCAAATTCAGAGCCTTCCATATGTTAGGCTAGCACCAAACCACTGAACTATAACCCTAGACCATTTTTTCTTACAGGTAAGAATTTTGTCAAAACATACATTAAGTCTGATATTGTTCACTATAAAACAGAACTATGAGGTAGGCTCAGGGGTTTATGTCTGTAATCCTGACATATAGCAAGCTGAGGCAGGAGGATTGGAGGCTAGACTTCATCATGAAACTATTTTTCAAAAAACCAAAACCAATCAACCAAGAAACAAACAAAAATTCCACAGAACCAATACATTTTTCTGTATTTTAGAAAAGACCAGTTATAATTAATCTTTTGTAGTTAATAATTAATCTTTTGGAGTTAAACATTTTTGTCTCTTTAATAAATCCAAAACATGATTGAGAAGAAAAAAAGAAACAAAGGAGGCAAGAGAAGAGAAAATACAACAAGAAATAAAGAAATGTTTGGAGAGGAAATAAATTATTTTGTACTTGGACTATGGTATTCTGTAGCATTTTGCCCACAGAATAAATATTTACAGATACCGATTTCCCAACACAAAATGACAAGGGACAGTAAAAATAAAATTAAGCAAAACCTTTAAACTGTGGACCAACCTAAATGTAGAGAATCAAACCACAGGCTCTAGGAGCTTTTAATCCCTTCCTTAGAAACAAAGTCTGCAAATAAGGGAAACCATGGAGGCATAGAATTCCATTGTGTATATATACCATATTTTCTTTTTTTTTTTTTTTGGGGGTCCGGTCGTGGGGCCTGAACTCTGGGCCTGGGCTCTACCACTTGAGCCACTCTACCACTTGAGCCACTCTACCACTTGAGCCACAGCGCCACTTCCAGCTTTTTTTCTTTTTTCTTTTTGCTTATGTGGTGCTGAGGAATCGAACCCAGGGCCTCAGGCATGCAAGGCAAGTGCTCTACCACTGAGCCACCTTCCCAGCCCATATATACCACATTTTCTTGATCCATTCATCTACTGAGGGGCATCTGGGTTGGTTCCATGTCTTAGCTATAGTAAATAATGCTGCAATAAACATACTCATGCTGGTAGCTTTAGTGTGGTCTTGTTTGTGAACATTTGGGTAAATGCCCAAAAGTGGGATTGCTGGGTCATAGGGGAGCTCTATGTGGAGTCTTTTGAGGAACTACTTTCCAAAGTGGTTGAACAAGTTTACACTCCCACCAACAATGCAATAAGATTCCCTTCTGTCCACATCCCCTCCAGCATCTGTTGTTATTAGAGTTCTTGATTTTAGCCATTCTAACTGGAGTGAAGTGGTATCTCAATGTTGTTTTGATTTGTATTTCTTTTATGGCTAGTGAGGTTGAGCATTTCTTCATGTGTCTATTGGCCATCCTTCTTTCCTCTTCAGAGAAGTTTCTCTTTGTTTAAGTCTTTAGCCCACTTATTTATTGGGCAGTTGTTTCTTTGAAGATTTGTTGTTGGGGGATTTAATTTTTTGAGTTCCAGGTATATTTTAGATATGAGACGCTTGTCTGTTGTATGGCTAGTGAAGATCTTCTCCCAATCCGTGGGCTTTCTACTGATCTTGCTAGCTATGTCCTTTGCCATGCAGAAGCTATGCAATTTCATGCAATCTCATTTGTCCAATCTTTCTTTGATTTGTTGTGTTTCTGGGTCTCTATTAAGAAAATTTCAGCCTGTGCCAAGGAGACCTAGGGTTTCTCCTATTCCATCCTGTAATGTTTTCAGAGTGTTAACCAATTTTGCCAGCACCATTTACTGAAGAGGCTGTCTTTCTTCCATTCTATTTTTTTAGCTCCCTTATCGAAGATTAGATGGCTATAGGTCTGTAGGTTCATTTCTGGGTTTTCAATTCTATTCCATTGGTCCTGAGGTCTGTTCTTGTGCCAGTACCAAGCTGTTTTGATTACTATGGCTTTATAGTAGAGTTTGAAATTTGGTATTGATATTCCTCCAGCAGTGTTCTTTCTGTTGAGGATTGTTTTTGCTATTCGGGATCTTTTATTGTTCCATATGAATTTTTGGATTGCCTCTTCTATTTCTTTGAAGAATGAGGTTGGAATTTTGATAGGTATTGCATTGAATCCCTTATTTGCAATAACTAGTATATGTCTGAGTCAAGCAGAAAAGGTCAGATAAGTTGATGTTAGGGAAATGAACCCTAAGATATGTATTCTTTCATGCGATTGTTTCTAACACATTTATAAAATTATTTCTTGTTGCTTTGTATGTCCCTCCCCCACAGTATAACCCCTGCTTTCACTGTATTTGTGGAGGGGAAGGGGAAAAACAAATCATTATATAGGCATACGGGTGGACCCATTGCAACAATGAGATGTACAAGTCATTATGTCGAAAACGAACTTTACAACTGTGGTGCGAGGGGAGGGGGGAGGATTGGTTGGGGGAGTATGGGAAGGATGGGATGGGAAGGGGAAACAAAGGAGGCTACAATGCTTGATAAGAAATGTACTCATTATCTTGCCCATGCAATTGTAACCCTTCTGTACAGTATTTTCACAATAAAAAAAAAAAAAAAGAAAGAAAGTCTGCACACTTTTGGAATGCTGGATCATACTCATTCTGGAAACACAACGAAATCCCAGTAGGGCACGGGCCAATAGTAAAACCTTGAAGTATTGGTCAGCTCACTGGGCAAAGTATTTTTCTACCTAATTCTTTCAGACTATCTGGTGGTGTAAAGTTTGTGGAAGATGACACTGGAAAGACTATGATTTATCAATAATAAACCTCAGCAATGCAAATCTCCCACCAGATAAGTAAACGTGTCACCAATTCAGAGAAGAATTCAGGATTGCTCGCTATCTGCTGGAGAAAATAGGAAATATTCAATAAATCCATAATTTCAAAGCCCAACATGTTGGAACATTTTCTCTTTTATCTACATGTCGTTTGGGCTGATATTTA